GGTCAAACTTCTGACAAACATCACAAAACATTATGTTATTTTTTTCATCGAATATTAGCCATTTTTTCTCTTGAAGCCTGTTGAAAACGATAAACTTTTTTTTTCTTAGTGGGTGGCGATTCAATCACTGAGTCAAACGAAGTACTCGCGTCGCGGTCCCCAGTGTTGACACATGATGCCGCACTTGTACTCTGCTGAGATTCAACATTTCCTTCAGTGGTAGAAACGTGTCAAAGTACATGTATTACATCCTGTTCAGAAATATTTCCATTATCGGGATCATTTTTTGTTGCTTGAGATACTGGGCATTCAGGCTTCGTTGTTTTGACATGATTGTATACCAACCGAATGACGCGCGACTATCGACGTGAGACCCAGAGTACGCTACCAATTTACTTCCGGGTTCTCGATTGATGCGTTCACGAACGATGCGATCACGGACGAATTAGATTTTTTTCACTTTTGTTTTTGAGTTTTTTAGCTCCGCTGTCGACTTTGTCGAGCGGAGCTTATCATATGAGTAATTGTCCGTCGTCCGTGTCAATGTTTTACTTTTTCGACTTCTTCTTGAAAACTACAAGCCTGAATGCTTTGATACTTGGTGTATATGTACCTTGGGTAGACCTCTCTTAGGTTTGTTCATTTCATGTTGATATCTTCAATTCTCTAATTTTGGTGAATATTTTTGTCATTTTTGGTAAAAAGTGATATTTTCGACTTCTTGTTAAAAACCGCAAGTCCAATTGATTTGATACTACATATATAGGTACTGCATGTGGACCTCTCTCATATTTGTTCATTTCGTGATGATATCTTCAATTCTCTAATTTTGGTGAATATTTTTGTCATTTTTGGTAAAAAGTGATATTTTCGACTTCTTGTTAAAAACCGCAAGTCTGATTGCTTTGATATTACATATATAGGTACTACATGTGGACCTCTCTCAGATTTGTTCATTTTGTGATGATATTTTCAATTCTCTAATTTTGGTAAATATTTTTGTAAAAAGTGATATTTTCGACTTCTTGTTAAAAACCAATAGTTCAATTGCTTTGATATTACATATATAGATACTACATGTAGACCTTTCTCAGATTTGTTCATTTTGTGATGATATCTTCAGTTCTCTAATTTTGGTGAATATTTTTGTCATTTTTGGTAAAAAGTGATATTTTCGACTTCTTATTGAAAACTGTAAGTCTGATTGCTTTGATATTACATATATAGGTACTACATGTGGACCTCCCTCAGATTTGTTTGTTTTGTGATGATATCTTCAATTCTCTATTTATTTTGGTGAATATTTTTGTAATTTTTTGGTAAAAAGTGATATTTTCGACTTCTTGTTAAAAACTGTAAGTCCGATTGCTTTGATACTATTCATATTGTTCATTTTCTAATGATGTCTTCAGTTCTTTAATTGAAATGTGCATTGCTAACAGCGGAGCTATCTCAGCCGATAGGCTGCTTGTTTACAATATTGGTTGAAACTAATTTAGGCTTAGTGAATATAATGAGAAAATGTTGTGTTAATTTCTACATGCACAGCGTGCACATTGGATTTTGAGTTTACTTGCACTAGCTAATAATCTATGTGCATAGTGCAGTGTGCACCCGAGTATTTCGAACCCTGGTAATGGAAGTCGGTGCAACGGGTCGGAGTTTAGCGAATTTTCATCATTTTCTATGTCGTTTTTGGATTACTTCTTGTTTTAAATAAGGTTGCAAAAGTATGGGAAACATGGGGTTTGGTATGCTGTTTGTTGTTGAGATATCCTGACTTATTCTGTGTTTTTCTTCGATCGCCAGAAGTGGCAATGTGTTTTTTTTTTCCCGTTGAATGCGCTCATTTATCAGTGTTTTTGTCTTGGCGGCATTGTTTTTTTATGCTATAACCAAACAACTCGATCACGTGATCTCCCGAAGTCGCCCGATTGACTCTGAAAATGACCGATAGTCAGAGATTAACGTTCATTTGTGTAAATTGGCTTATTTTTTAATGCGACGAAATAAACAGTCAAAATAAACATTTGACATCGCGGCAACTATCATAGTTCAAAGGAAACAAAGTCGTTGTTCTTCCTGTGGTTTATAGTCCCATGGTTTGACATACGCCTTCAGATTCCTCATGTGGAATCACTTGGAGAAAATAACTCCATCATTTCACTGCATTTGAATAAAATAATAACATTGTGTTTAAATGTCAGAATATAACATGTCGAAGTATAATTATATTTCATAATGATTTTGTGAATATGACATGTATTAAATGTCAACAAAGTCAATAGGTATAAACATGCCTCTAATTCATTTCACATGAAAAAATGCCACTGTTGCAACAGACACCAAAATAAACAGATCATGAAAACTACCATCTACTTATCAATTTCCATCAGAACATTGCAATATCCTTTGATTCAGTTATTTTGGTACTCCCTGTAACCATTGTGAATCACAAAGCTGTTGAATTGGAAATGAATGGATTTTAGTTATATGATATTTAAAAACTGTTCACATCAAAAAATTAGCAAAAATTATTAGGAATTGAATAACTAATCAAAATAATGGGAGGTTAACCTTAGATTCATTCAACTGTCCTCGTCCATAAAAAAAACGACTAGGTTTAAAGAGAAACGCCGACAACGTAAACCTGGCGCAACACTTTTGAAAGAAATAGATTCCGGACCAGCCCATGATCACCGAGGTGGATTTCAGAAGAGAGAGAGACGTTCGGCAAGTGTTTTAAATGAGTTGAGTTTTTTTGCGATCCTGATTATCGTTTTATAGAGACCATTTAGTTCCTGTTAAGTAAAAGGTAGCAATCATTTTGACAGTGACACGAAAACAAAGCGTCCGACAAACAGGAAATTACACAGCCCATTTTCGAAGGCTAAAAGTTTCTGAATTGTTTGGTGATTGGTGTTGAATGTCGAATTCACACTTCTGTTCTTTTTTACCTCCATGCTTGCAGCTTGATCTGCGTAATAATTTATGAAATAAGAATCCGGGCTTGGTCAATGTGTTTCCACCAAATAAAGTTTTAATACGATGTTATAATTATGACAATCACGCCATGGATCAAGCTAACTCGAATCCACTCTGAATTTATCTGTATGTGTGTCGATCTCGATTATTTTTGTTATTCAATTAAACGTCGCTTTTAACGCACTTGCCCTCGCCGTGACCAGACGCGTTCACCTATTTCAACAAAATGTCAATTTATTTCCATGCGGCTGTCATTTATTTAGTTACTGTGATTTGTCGTTTTTTTAATTATTTTATAGTGATCACTATAGTCTAATGTTTAGAATGTCAAAATATGTTCTCTTTTATTTTAATTTTGAAAGTTTTATTCAGACGATCATGGAAATAAAACAGTGTTGTGACGTGCCTAGTAACCTGCTAAATAACGAGATAATTCCGACGTCAAATTCTATTTTGTCCAGCAACAGTGTACAAACGTGCGCCGGTGTCGGTGACGATCACGGTGACCAGCTACACCAGAACGGACATATTCCGCATCTAACTCAACCCCATGCAACAAAAATTGATACTATGTGTTCATTATGGTCCATTCTTCCTCGACGAACAAGTACATACGTGACAATATAGTCAAAGACGAGAAAACTGCACAAGAAATTTGCCTTATTTACACGTATCGGCAATGCAAGCTGCCATGCGACTTCCCCTTCTGACGTCACAAGGGGAATTTCTGTATGCAAATGAGGAGCCTCGTTTTAAAATACACAAAAATAAAGTTGCCGTAGACTGAGTTTAAAACACATTTTTTCACTTAAAAAAATAATTCATGCTTAGAAACATAAAAATTAATAATATTTATGTATCAATTGATAATTTTAGGCGTGAAAATAGCAGCCATTTCACAGGCACTTTAAATTTGCTTGATAATAATAATCTTCATGAGTTATTTTGCATAATAAAAACATTGGTGTAAATGTTTGCATTGGGTGCATGAATTAATAGAGGTCGCAAATTAAGAGTAGTGTTCACACACGGTTCCTTAGCACGGGCTGAGAAATGCTAAGTATGGATTAAATCTGGCCTGTTTTTAATACCCGATCCAGACCTTTAGCATGGGCTATCGAAGTGTGCATGAATGCTCAGCTCGGGCTAAGCACCAAAAAAGCCATTGTATTCAATGTTCATTTGGACGATTTACTATTACATGTATATTCATAACTATTGATTTCGGCATGCCATTCCATACATGACAGTCAATGCGAGCACTTCTACGGACATTGTTCTTGAGGGGAAAAAAAAAATAACGATGAGACTCTGCTACTTCCTGTTATTCTGCAATCTACACTTTAACTTGGTATTATTTTATAACTGTAGAACTAACACATATACCTTTCAATCTACTATACTGAGCAATCATAGTTAAAATGACCAAAGATTTTGTATATTTTTAGGTTTGGCCGTTCCTTAGTCCGTGCTAAGCACTGTACCCTCCCGTGCATGGATGCAATTGGGTCTATCCGATATGCAAACATAGAAGATAAGCTTAAATCTTAGCCCGTACTTCATGTAGCATGAACACTACTAATGAGTTTTTACAAAGTTAATAACATTATAACAATACTTGTTCAATAACTGTTTGTCAGAAATTTCATTTTATCACATGCTACATTCACTACATTTGATTGAAACTAACCAAATACATTATTGACATAGATATTTTAAGAAATACAAAGACTTAGGGAAAAAACGAAATTCAAGATGACCCTTTTTGGGCTAACAATTCATTAA